CCAGATCCCAGGGCAGGACTGAGGTCAGGATGGAGGAATCTTCCAGATCCCAGGGCAGGACTGAGGTCAGGATGGAGGAATCTTCCAGATCCCAGCACAGGACTGAGTCCAGGATGGAGGAATTTTCCAGATCCCAGGGCAGGACTGAGGCCAGGGTGGAGGAATCTTCCAGATCCCAGTGCACAACTGAGATCAGGGTGGAGGAATCTTCCAGATCCCAGGCCACCATCCTTTCCATCTCGTCCCTGTCTGTGGGCTTGGAGTTATGTAGAAGAAGTGGAACCGGTAGCCAGGCAACGAGGTATGCTTGTGTCCTATACAGGGACACCATGTCCCAGGGGCGGAATGGGCAGGAGGCAGTCCAGCTTGCCTCCACTGTCCCTTGTGCATTTTCTAATGTGCACAAGAGTGGTGGGTAGGTGGCTGCAGCTCTGGCCACCCGTATGACCAAAAGTGTGTGCCAAGGTCTCTTGCTTTTTCCTCCGACCTCTGACAAGGAGTTCACAGCTGTCACAGCTTTGGTGGGCAGACTGCAGACAGTGGGTTTTTTCTCATCAGTAGAACTGTGGAGCCATCCAGTCTTCCCATAGGCTGTGTACTCAGAAGTTAGGTAGGGCTGGAAACTGGAACAGCTTGTCCAGGCCACTGGGGTGCCATTTAGGAAATTACTTCCTCAGTAAAAGTTTGTAAATGACAGATGTAATTTAGTGAAAGTAGACTGCTTTTGTCAAGGGGAAACTTAACTTCCAGTCTTCATGCCTTGGAAGGAGCAGCGTTGCACCGTTCCCGGACATCTACTCCTCACTTGCTCCTCTCATAACAGAGGAGTGACTCACCCATGTGATCAAAGATGAGACCACTTTACCCCAAGGGCACTGATGCCCTCCCCACCTTGTGGGTTGCACTGTGTCCCAAAAAGATATGTTGAAGTCCTAAAGATGGGGATGCATCTTTATTTGGAAATGGAGTCTTTGCAGATACAATCAACTTTGAATGAGGTCATTAGGGAGGCCCTAATTCAAAATGGCTGGCATCCTTATAAGAACAGGAGAAGAAACACAGACACTTCTGTAAACCAAGTGAGACATCTACACGCCACACAATGCAAGGACTGCTGGCCAGTGCAGAAAGGACAAGAGGAAGGGGTCTCCCTTACAGGTGCCGGGGGGCTGGGGGGTACAGCCCTAACAACACCTGGATTTGGACTTCCCGCCTCTACAACTGGTAAACAATGCATTTCTGCTCTTTGAAGCTGCCATTTGAGGTATGCTGTAAGAGCCACCCTTGCAAATGAGAACACACCCTGCTGTCTCTGCCTGTTGGATCTGCTGGTGCCCAGGCACAGGAAGGCTTTCCCCAGCTGCGTCTGATCTTTCAGACCTGTCCCTCATCTGTGGCAAAGCCACGTAAGGCAGGCTCGTGAGTCTGATGGGTTTAGGCTCACGGTCTGGAGTCCATGCTTTATTCTGAATTCCTCCTCAGTTTTTCTCTTGAATGTTCTTTCTCAGTTCCAGGATCTCATCCAGAATGCCACATTATAATTAGCTGTCATGCCCCTCAGGTCCCTCGTGGCTGAAACACCATCTCAGATCTTCCGTGTTTCTGATAACTTTCATGGTTGTGAACCTTATTGATCAGATACTTTATGGAATTTCTCTCAATTAGAAATTTGTGGACATTTTTCTCCTGGTTAAACTAGGGTAGTAAGTTTTGGGAGGAAGACCTCAGAGGTTGAGTGCCATTCCCATCCCATCACGTCCAGGGTACTTCCTCAGCCCACCTCCTTACGGGCTAAAATTTTGTGTTTGTGGAACACGTGGATAGCAAGTTCCATAATGTTTCCTTTTTAAGAAATGTTTTATTTTAGTTATTATAGATCCATAATAGTTGTATATATTTATAGGGTACATGCAGTGTTTTGACACAGGCATACCATGTGAGTTAATCAAATCAGGTTAACTGGGGCATCCATTACTTCAGGCATTTGTCATTTTTTGGGTGCTATGAACATTTCCATTACACTCTTAGTTATTTTAAAGTATGCCCTAAATTACTGTTGCTTATGTTCAGTCTGTTGTGCTATCAAATATTATGCATTCTATCTATCTAAACTATACTTTTGCATCCATTAACCACACCCCCTTTATCTGCCACCTAATACCAACACTACCTTGGAAAGTCAAGTTCTATAAGCCTGTCTTTGCCTATGAGACTTGGTACTGACAACTGCATTATAACTCTTACCTTTTCAAGATCAGAGGACTACTAGGCACAATGTACAAAAGCACCAATGTCTCACAAAGCCGTCACAAAGCATCAGGACAAGCACAGGGACACGCTGTGAGGTGATAACATATGTTTTTAAAAAGCTTGAATTAGGGCGGTGCCTGTGGCTCAGAGGAGGAGGGCGCTGGCCCCATATGCCAGAGGTGGTGGGTTCAAACTCAGCCCTGGCCAAAAACTGCAAAAAAACAAAAAGCTTGAATTAATCTTTTCAAATTGTAAAGTTTCATATTAAGCCACCTTCCAGCTTCTTTTAAAAACTTTAAAGGATCTCGCAATACTGGGCTTCTACGAACCGAGTAACATCTCCATCCTTTAGCGTAAGCTCTCCCTAACCCTAGTTACCTCTCTCTGTGTTTTTATATTAAAGGCACAAATAAACTATAAAGCTGTACAATTATATGTGATTACTATAATTAGCGAGAACTTAGGGAAGATTTCCTAACACATGAGAAGTGATGTTTTACTCCAAGTAAAGGTGAATTGGCCTCTATAATAAGAGAGGTGCCATGGCACGATTTGGTCAGTTGAACCCAATTTTTTGTGCTACATCATTTCACAGGCTTTCTGATCTGAGCATACTTGGCTTGAAAACCACTCTTTAGGCATATACTCTGACATCAAACAATTTGTCAAAAAAGATGCTTAAAGGAGAACAAATCCCAGAGTCAAGCAGTAAGTACGTTGTTGATCTTATTCATGGCAATGATCCTGCATGCGCTGCCTGGGCAAGCACACTTTCCACTTCCCTGACATGCAGCTTTCTTCCACTGGGTCTGTCCAAACTGGAAACCCCACAGCACATCTCCGGTCTTCCTTCACCATCAACCCAACTTAGAGGGGTCTCTCCCTCCCTTGACCTTTTAGGGAAATTAATACCTGTAAAAATTAATCAGCAATTAATCATATTTTGCTTTGACACCTGTTTATCATGACTTACTGCATAACTTATAATTTAATCATTCTCATACAAGTCGTGTGCACGGTAGTGTGGAACTGTAGAAATGACCATGCAATTTGAAGCCATGAAGAGAAATATTAATTATTGACAGGAAAACACGATCTTCCATGACATTTTAAAATGTTCAAAAAACATTAAAATCTCTCTTACTGGAAGTTATTAATATATTTAAAAATGGAAGAAAATAGCAAAACCGATCATTGCTTAGCACCCTGTAATTTAAAACACTAGAAACACTGGGAATTAAAGTTTTGCTTCTTTGTAAAACACTTACCAAGAGTACTTTGAGTGCAACTTGCCTTCTCATTGGTAGAACCGACCCTATGCCTTGGTGAACCAGCGCTCTGCCATCTAAGTTTGGATCACGTCTAAGTTATGCCTCCCCTTTGCGTTTTTAACATTGTAAAATGCACCTGAGCGTTCCATTGATGTGAAGTGTTTTCTCTATTTTCCTTTTTTGCTCGTGATTTCCTTTGGGACATCCCCATTCTTCCTGTCACCGCCTCTTTTCACCCGCAGTAGGTTCTTCCGCCGGCGTATCTGGAGTATCTCCAAGATGGCGCCGAGAGTCCACGTTTGCAAGGCCAGCTATTTTTTCTGTAATTCCATTTACATCCCATTCCAATTTCACCCCCGTCTAGCACTTTTTTGTTTCTTTGATGTACTTTCATCCTTGTCAGCTAATTCTTCCTTTTGATTATCCATTCTTGTAAAATTCGACCTTGATTTATCACTGAGAATCAAGGAGGCAGCTCGCCTGCACGCCTTTCTAGTGGGGCAAGAACTGACAGGCTGTGCAGAGTGACCAATCACCTCAGACTTTGAAAAAACTACTGTGATTGGTCACCAGTCATTGCAGACTTTGGAAGAAATATTGTTATCGGCTACTAATCCTAATGTGAGTATATAATCTAGGTGGAGACTTGTGGACTGAAGAGCTAGATGTGGAATTTGTACTCAGTTAACGTGCCAGGGTAACTGAAATTTGAACAATGTCAGGGGGCGGGGCGCTGGTGTTATTTAACTAAACTCTGGTTTCATGATGCATATCAGAATCATGAAAAGAAAAGCTTACTTGTATTAGTATTTTGTCTTCACAAGTCCAGTGTCAAGTCCCACCCCAGCACCTACCACAATACCTTACATATTTTAAAGACTCAATAAATATTCATTGAGTTTTGTTTTCTACACCAGAGAGAGAAGTGTATAGATATAACATAATACTGGAAGGCAGGAGGGCTCAATTCTTGTTCTGGGTCAGATGCTGTGTTTAATTTTCAGACTCTCCATCTTAAAAAATCTATATTCTAAGCACAATATCAACCTATTTCCTAAGGCTATAGTGGAATTCTGATAATTATTATACCTTAGTCACATTAAAGATGGAAAAAAATAAAGTGTTTTGTTTCATTGTTTATTCTCCTCTTAGAACTTTGAAAGATACATCCGAATTGTCGGCACCGCCCACTCTGATGGGACCGCGTTCTCCTGTGCGCGCACACTTCCATGGGCTGAACTACATACATGAAAAGGCACGAATTGGCCCTTTCCATTCTCCATTGATACTGAATTACTCATTTAGCCTCTTAAACCCCTTTTCTTCAGCCTATGCCATCTGTCACCCCCAGTACAGAAGGAAAAGAGTTCTGCTCAAAATATAGTCTACAACTTTAGTACTTATGAAGCACAGAGTTTGGGATCTTTATAAATCTCTAATCTTGTTCCAAAAATGGCACTACCGCATGTGATTTCTCCAAAAATGTTTAAATTATAACTAGAAATTTCTTTTTTTTTTTTTTTTTTTTTTTGAGACAGAGCCTCAAGGTCGCTACCATTTCTCTAGAACTCACCTCATCAATTC